CTCAGACATAAATGCGGCTTCTTTTCCAACTTATTTACTCTCTTCTGTTTAGGACAAAGAATTGAGATCGGATTTGGGGCTTTGAATGCAAGGCTGAGACAGAGGAATATTTCATGCTGTTGTTGTTAATGAGTCTCTTAATTACTCAGAATGTTGATTTACTCACCCTTGATGCCTTTAATAAATATTTCACATATAATTATCAAACGTTAATAGTCTGAGATTGGCAGTGATTTGTAGCAGTTGTATAATGAAACAGCTGTTGGGGTGAATGAATAGCAGTACCTTTTGACTGAAAGTTGTGTTAACTAATGAGTAAAAAGGAGGACTATTCCATGGGACTAAAAGATTTTCTAGACATTTTCTGTCCTATATTTCTGTGATGTATATGTAGATGCATATATGAGGGATGTATCTACATATGAAAATCTTTTCATTGGTAAATTCAGTTGTTTCTTGGCACTGTCAGTTGCTTTTTGTGAGTTAAAGAGAAATGAAAGTGTCATATAAAGTGTGTATTGACATTTTATAATTTTGTGTTTTTATGTAGACTTGAGATTATGAATCCATTTTACTCTTTTGTCTTGTTGCTGTTAGGTTTCACTCTTTGTGGCTCTTCATCTTGCAGGATTAATGTTTGCTAGCCATGGATTCAGACATAGTAACAAATTATAAATGGATGTTAGAATAATTTGGAATTACCTCGTTTTAATTCAAATTCAAAATTGCTTTTTGTTTTACCAGCAAACACATATCTCTTTATGGTGCAAGCTCGTGGTATAATGTTGAGAGAAAATGTAAAAACAATAGGACACATGATCAGATTGTACACTAACAAAAATACTACATTGAATGGCACAGGTAAGAATATTTCTTATTTAATTTCATTTTTAAAAGAACTTTATGGCAAAATAAAAAAGCCAAACCTTAATGACATAGCTTGATTATGAGAACCTAGACCCAAGTCCTACTTCTCTGTAACTGGAGTGAAGGCCAAATAGTTACTGTTTATCAGTTCACTGTAGTAGGAAATATTTGTCATAGCTGTAACAAAGATATCTTAATTATTGTTCCTTTAGTGCAGTAAAATGTTTTTTAAACATGCTGCTAGGAATTTGTTAGTTACAAAGTTAATGCTCTCACCTGCATGATGATATGTTACAAATTCAGTGGATAACATAGGTTTTTACAAAAGTCAATTCCTCTTTTTAAGATTATCCTGAAGGAAACAATTCTAGTGACTGTGTTGCTCAAACAACAGTGTATCTTCCAGAAAACTTCACTTACTCTCCTTACCAGGCTTGTCCAGAGAAGCTGCCTTACATGAGTAAGTTTTAAACTGACCTTAATGTTTATGTAGTAAACTGGATTGTCCTTAAAACAAAATACAATTATTTTAATATAAAATATAATTGTAAGGAGGCCAAATATATAGCAGAAAATAATCAATGAAATACATCTAAGAATGGACAATAATGCTTAGCAGAATTTTGCCTGTAACTATTGTGTTACTAAAGCTTTTGGCCTCTTTACTAATCACCTAATGAGTTTTAAATTCTATTTACAAATCATTTTACATCCTACAAATTAAATACTAAATATTTTTATTAATATGTAGGAATATTGTAATGTTATAAAAAGTACTCATTCAGAGTTGTGTATTTTAAGGAATAGTTAAAAATTTCCTTTTTGGAAATGGTATTCGTAATACAAAGATTCATGTGTTGTAAACTAGTTCTCAAATCTTCATTAGCTAATCACAGTTACCTCAATATATAAGAAACTGAACAAGATGGTGTAGTGAAGTGAGAATTGATGGAGGTAAGAAAGTGCTAAAGCCCCTGTCGTAACAAGGAAGTAGTACTTGCAAAACAGGTGAAAAGTTGTGATCCTTGGGAAATTTTAAAATTAAGCTTTTAAACCCAGATTTTAAGATCCCAGGCTATTAAATAGAACTTGATTGGGTAACCTTAACTTTATTTGTCTTTAAGCCTAGAATCTAAACTTCTAATTCTTTTATTTGAAAGTGTTTAGTTGCAGAGGAGTGTCATGCAGAAATAAGAAACTGAGTTGGGTACTTCAGCACCATTGCTCTTTTGATTTGCTGGGTTTTTATAAAACCTGTAACATCACAGCTGTCCTAAGTAGCAATATCCTAGTGTATGTACAAGGTCTTATAAGCAGTTTTTGCACAATGAAAGCAGTTACACCAACTGAGATTGGAAGAGTTCCTTAATGTAATTCAGTGTCCTTAACCCGATTTAATAATGTGGCTGGAAGGCTGTTGGCATGACTTTTTTTAATTTTCTTTCTGTAGACAAGGTGTAGCTTTGTTTGGGAATATTCTTTAAAATTCTTGTTAAGAACTGTAAATTTTTATGTGAATTCCCCTTTCCTGCAACCTTGCCATTGTTCAGATTCAGACAAAATTCTGGGCATTGTTTGCTCTTCTCTGGCTTGTATAGAAAGCAATCCTTAATGACCAAGAAGTGTTAGGTAGGAGACCAGTTTTGAACATTAAAAAAGAAAAAGGCAGATCGCCCCTGGTGATGACTGCTTTACCTTGACCTTCACCACTGATTGTTTGCTGTTAGAGATAGTTCTTATATTTAACCTTTATAAAATTGCAGTCCCTTGGCTAAAATAGAGTTCCTTCTTAGAAACCGCTATTGAGTTTTCGGCTTTTTTCTCTACGTTAGGAATTGTTGTTACGTTATCAGAGTTGCTGTAGGAAGCAAGGGATGATTAAGTATAAATGCTTTTTTTTTGTGCTCTGCATTTGGAAGAAATTGTAACTTGAGTCAGTAATCCATGGAGTTACTTCAGTTCTGGTAAATGTTTTGTAGACAGACAATATTTTTGAGTGAAGAACTAATAGTAGCACTAGTATAGATCTCAAAGCCAATTAGTTAAATTGAAATGTCTCATTTAGTGTCAGAATGTATCAGCTAGGGAAGAAGAATCAACAAATCTCTGTAAATAAGTGTAAATATGTTACTCGAAGTGATTGTTCATTAGTATCTGGCAGTATCTATTATGCTAACATGTTTATTTTACTTGCTGTATTTAAAATCAAACAAGTAAACTTCTGATTTGTAAGATGGAAAACTTGAAATAGTTTCTGAAGATATTTGTGACGCCTTCCAGAATTCTAACCTCTTGTCTTTTAGGCTGACACCCGACTTAAGCTGTGGGCTGTCATTCAGCAAGAGCAAGTAATTAAGTATTTAATATAGCAGTTCAGATCCATATCATACCAAACAATGCTGCTGACAGCCAAACTGAATTGCTGATCATTTTTTCTTCAAAGAAAAATAGTGGATTTCACTAGGCTAATCTGGATTCCATTATAACTTTTTTAATTGCAACAGAGAAGTTTATCTAGTGAAGAGTACAGTAACAGTGCTTGTTATCTTTGTTTCTTTTCAAAGCCTCCAAAATCTAAACTTTATCTCTTACATTATAAATATACATAGAGCCAAAAATATAAATCAGTTGCTTTGCTTATGAACTTAAGTCATGTAGAAAACTGCCAAGTAGCAATTAGCCATGGTGTGATTATATTCTTATTTCAGTCTGTTTCCCTCTAGAAATAGGGTTTGACTTTCAAAATCACGTGGATATTCTTTTCTATAATATGGCACATGTAAACAAATAAAAGCTAAATTATTCCAATAGTAAATATTTTAGCTACTTTGGGAAACAAATAAAAAGTTTGAGAAATGTCAACTCTGGATAGCTAGAGAAACAAGAATGATGATTACGCTGATTGAAAAATGCATATAAATTAATATTTTAATGAAACTTTCAAGGGATCTGGCAGTTGAATTCTGCCAGATTAGTTAGTTAAAACTGTATTGGCTTCTCCTAGCTGTTCTACTTGTGTATTAGTCTGCTGTCCCTCAGTGCGGGGATAAGGCAAGTCAGATGGTGCTAAGGTACCTTAGGAGGTCAGCCTCCTTATAGCATGTTATCTTAAATCGTTGGTGCAGATATATTTGCACTGACGAGTATTTAGAATTGCCAGAGTAGGGATGCATTCTACTATGCCATCCTTGCTATCAACCTCATTGGCTATATGTGATTCTATCAGAATTTGTCTATAGGTCTCATTATTGCTGCTCTCTTTTTCCATATTTTTTGTTAGTAATCTCTTTGTGCTTATTCTGTCCTGCTTAATTTAGTAGAGAAATCGCAATTTTAATAGAAAGTAGTTGACTGAATAAGTTACTGTTCAGCAAACAGATGTATGTCTGACCCTTTGGTTTTCATGTATACCTTTTTAACCATCATCTGTGTATTTAACTATAATCTAAATAAAACTTGTCTGAAGATTATGTAATGCAATAAAATGTTGTAGGTGGTCCTGAGATAAGCCAGGGAAGAAATCTTGAATCACTTATATTTTGACCTGCTTAATAATCTGAAGTTATTGTAGAAGTCAATTACTCTTCTTTACATCAACTTGCCAAATTTGTATCATGAAAGGACTATGGTAAAATCATGTTTTGTCCCAAGTACATATGGTCTTAAAATAAGACCAACTAGTGCCTTTGTGTGTGGCTCAGTCTTTCAGGTGGAGCACTGCTGTGCTAATTCATAAGCAAGACACCTCTACTTCAGATTTGAAGCAATACAAAAAAGTCTTTAAGCAGCATAATTTTAGTGCTAACTTGAGAGGTAAATGGAACGCAGATCAATTTTTACAGTTATATGAAATAAAACCCTAATGTTAAGAATTTCTAAGCAGTCTGCCCAAGTCACTTCGTAGTTGTCTAAGAGGTGGTTCTTAATGAGCTATAAGAAATATCCAGATCTTCTAGTTTGATCACCTCAGTACACTGGGGTTGAAAGTACCTAAGCCATTTTAAACAGATATTAGAAACATCCATTTTGTATTTAAAAAAAAAAAAAGTAAGTAATCAGTGGAGGAATTTCTACTGTCTCTAGAAGTAGTATATTCTAGTATTCCATCAACTGAATAGTTAAGCTTTTCTTAATTCTCAAACTGCATTTGCTTTCCCCCCGCCCCCCTCTTCCTGCAAGTTATTTGGATTTCTCTTTGCCCTTCTTGATGCTTGGAAAAAAGTTGGTTACCATCTACGTACCAAATTATTCTGTCTTGGAAAAGACTTATGTTTCTGTCAGTCTCTTCCTTTGTGGATAAACCAGTACTTTCAGCCTTTCTGGACTGTTTATTTTCTAAAGCTCTTGTCATTCTTGATTTTTGTACTGTAGAATTTCTCTAATTTGATTTCCTTTTGAAGCATCATAACCAGCTAAAACCCTGGTTACAAAACAAACTAGTAATTACCTTCTCTGGCTTTCATACAACAGCAGTTAATGTATTCCAAAATGAGATTTGCCATTTTTGTGCAATTGCATTACAGTTTATTGCCTCATATTAATAGGCAATCCATTATAAACCGTCAAAATATCTTTCTGCATACTGCAGCATAGCCAGGTATTTCCTGTTTTGTGTGTGTATGCTTCATCTCTCCTGCAGTAACAATCCATGCTTTTTTCTTTTAAAATAATTTCACTCTATTGATTTCAGTATGTATCTGAATTGTTGGAATTACTTTGTTTTCTGATTCTGTTCTTCAAAATGCTTTCTGCTTCCTCAGCTTTCTTTTTTTGTGGGTTGTATAAATATGTTTTATTGCAGCAAACTAGACAGTAATGGAAGTAGTGAATACTAAGCGCAGATATTTACTGAGATGCCTTCTCCAGCCCCCCCAGCACTGACAGGGAAATACTGCTGGTTTCGATTTGCCCATCTCCTGTGTACTTTTGATAGTACCAATATTTCAGGGTTTACTATAGCTACTTTTTAAACAGTCTGGAGGGAATTTCATCATGACCCATCAAGTTAGAAGCACCTGCCTTATAAATACTGTTTTACGATTCCTCCTTTTTTTTTTTAATTTCCATTCTGTAAATATCTGATAACATCTAAACTTTTCTCAGGGGACTAAGGCACCTGAGTCCTTTGCATCATGTGTTGTTTTCTTCCTTTTCTGGTGTAGTAATTGGCCTTTATTTATCTTTATTTCCCTATTAGATTCTATAAATAAACTGAAAGGCTCTTGTTCCTTCTCTGTCTCTTAGTATTTGAAATTGATTTATTGTGGTTTTGTTTGTTGTTTTTTTTTTTAATTTAATTTGTACATGTTTATATACTGGTCCTTTGTTGATTGCCCTTGTTTCTACTTTTTGTTAGATTTCTTTTTTGGGTTATTGAAGAGTTTCAGACACAACCATAATGATCATCTAAATTTTTTTAAAGTTCTGTAGGATTACCTTGTTCTGATATATATTTGGACAGTCTTTTTTCAGCGACTGCCAGGTTTCCTTTTTCTTCTAAAATAAATAAATAAATGTGGGTTTGTTTAAATCTGCTCTTGAAAGATCTTTTCCCTATTGTGCTGTTCATGATCCTTTTTTCCCTATCACTTTTCTTTTTTTTATGTTACCTTCTACATTTACAAGTAGTTCTACGTTTAGTCATATCCAAAACTAAAATAACTCTTGCAGTATCTTCTGCCTTCTTCAGAAAACAATAGCTATTCCTAGTATGCTCCAAGAATTTCAATCTTTCCAAAAGATTTAGATAGATAGTCAGATGATGTGGAATTAACAGTGGTACTTGAAAGGAAAGGTGACTCTAATTTTCTGGAATAGATACAGAATTCAAATTCCTTTGCTTGTCCTGTGTCCTCTGAAATGAGTATTTTGCTTATAGGATTTATTGATGTAACATTTATATTGGGAAATATTGAAATTCATTCTGTAAAAACTGACTATTAAGAGGATAGTATAAACTGTTTCTTTTTTATCTGTAGGTAGTGTAACTACAAATTTCTGATGCTAGTAACCTGTAATATACCTTGTAGCATTAGATCTGTTGTCTTATGTGAAATTAAAAAAAATTTTTTTCTTCTGTTTAGGAGGCCTTATTGATGTCAATATGAGTGAAATTAGTTTTGATGAAATTCAGCAACTGTTTTCAAAAGATTTAGACATTAAACCAGGAGGACACTGGAAACCAAAAGACTGTAAGCCACGATGGAAGGTGAGATGCTGTTTTTTGGTTTTGTTTTGTGTTTTTTTTTCCTGTTGATACATAAGAATAGTTTACCATTGCAAGCACTCAGTTTTTTACTGCTATATATTTTATATAATAAGTAGTATGTTATAATATATATTATGCTGTCTGTGCTCAAGAAGAGACTAAAACTTGAAGAAAAACTTGAAATGGATTGTCAGGAACTTCTAAAGGTTCATTAACTGTTGTTGCTAAACATTTTATCGTATGGATGCAAACTTGTCCTATGTGTATGTTGCTTAAAGTATAATTAGAAGGAAGTGAACATAAAAGGAAAATCTTATCTATATTTTACTCAGTTTTTTATTTTTTTTTAATTGTTTGAGCAA